TTTTTTGAGACAGTGTCTTGCTATGTAGTTCAGGCTGGCCTTAAAGTCACTGTGTAGCTCACGCTGGCCTCGAATTTACAGCGATCCTCCTGCCTCAGTCTCCTGAGTGCTGGGATTACAGGTGTGCACCACCCTGCCCAGCTATAAATTCATTCTTAAAGTTAGAACTAGTTTGAAAGAATCCTATCAGCTATCCCTCAGATGGGAATGAGAAAAAGGCTACAGTGACAGGGATGAGGAAAAAGGAAGTAAAAATAAAAATAACCAGAGGTCCAAAGAATCAGCTAAGGAAACACTAATATATATATTTGTCTGATAATTACTGCTTTTCAAATGATAACTTAGATTGGAACATAAGATCCTCTGAAATACAATTAATAGTTTTCTTCCCAGTGAAAAACAGTCATCTTAGGAGTTATTTTTGTTTTGTGGGCTTTAGGTACATTCTGAACTTTTGCATTCCTGTAGGTAAACATCCAGCAGTTAGAATTCAAGATTCAACACACACTGACCTTCAACCAATCAGCCATAACAATAACAGAAGGATCTGTGATTGTACTGAGTAACTCCTTTGTGGCTCTTTTCTTTTCTTCTCGGTAATTTTTCTTTTGCACCTATTTTATATAAATAATAAAAAAATTTAAAAACTCAAAACAAAAAAACAATTTCTTTTCAACTTTTTAGGTCTATACAATGTAGAACATAAGATTCTCAATGTCTTCAGAATTCTAGCATCATAGAATTACAAAAAGCTATAGTATATTTGATTGTTTTATTGCTGGGAGGAACTTTTAGGCAACTTGGGTTAAAATGTAGATTTTCTCATTACTAGTATCTTTTTAAATAATATTATCTCTTTTATATTATACAACAATGCATGAATATAATCTCATGGTAAAAATTTCAAATAAAAGAAAGCTAAAAGCTACTTTTATTATACCCCGTCTTAGTGCAACTCCCAGAACTGGTCACTGTTATCTTCTGTAAAACACTTCCTTTTAAGACTGTACATGATCTATACAAATACATAACTTTATGTTTTTTAATACATAAAAAGTTCTCCCATTCAATATTTTCTTGAAAATTTCCATGACTACTTTATTCATAGCCCACCCCCAATCCTTGATACTGAGACTTGAACCCAGGGGCTTCACAATGACTTCAATCTTCAGCCCCTTTTACTTTTTGAGACAGAACTCTCTCATTTAGTTGCTAGCTTGACCATAGTGGGCTCAAACTTGCTATCCTTCTTACTCAGCCTCCCAGAGTGTTGAGGTTACAGTGTTCCCTACCACCCCCAGTTCACCTTATTCTTTTAACTGCTCCATAGGATTCCTAGTATCAAAATAATGAGAAAGCTAACACTGGGTGCAACCTGTGAACCAGTCATTGTTCTAAGGATTTAAGCTGTACTACAATTACCTCACTTAATCATCACAATAACCTTTTGAAGTAGAACTATTATTAACCTTATTTTACAGATGAGAAAAGTGAGGTGGATAGTGTAAAAGGCCCAGATCACACAGCTAGATAGTTGTGGAATCAGGATTCAAATCAAAGCTGACTGGCTCCCAAAGCTATGCTCCTACCTACTAGGTTAAATTATTTCTATCATTTTTCTTAATGAATTCCTTAATGAATTCCTAATTAATTTTCTTAATGAATTTACTGATAGAAATCTACTTTGCTTCCAGTTTTTGCCTATTATAAACAATACTGCAATTGTTTGTGAATGGAAGTCTTGTTCTCTTTCCTGATTCTAAAATGGAAGACATAAATAAGAAACCATGAGAATGCAATTAATTTATTCAGTAGTTTTACCTCATGCATGATATTTCTGAGACAGCTGAAGAAAGCAGCAATGGGTTAATGCAGTCTTATTAATACTTTACCGTTGTGTGAGGGTAAGAGTAAAGACAATCTATTAGTGACTAGATTTTTAAAAATTGGAATACAAATATATTCTACAAAAAGTTGCATTTCCTGGAAAGAGACTATACATACAATAATAATTTTATATCCAAAGAAACTTTAGACTTTTGATTTTTAAAAATACTCATGTTGGAATTAACAGATTTAATAAGACCGCAAATGCAAATAGGACCAGGCATAAACACACATGTTAAGCAGACTAGGCAATGACCAGTTGAAAGCCTGCGATCCTTAAGCCCCAGGTTCTGCTGACATCCAGGAAGGCAGGTCCAATAATACATATTTCCTCAGAGAAGTTGGAAATTTGCCCTTTTAATTGTTAGCTTGAATTTTTAAAACATTATGCAGTTCAAACAAAATATGGACCAAATTCAGCCCATCATCTAGCAGCTAGCAAACTGTAATTTCAATGAGTGCCAGAGATTTCCATCAAGTATACTATATAACATGGTGATATGCCTGCTCAGCTCTGGTATAACTGTAATGAGATTCCAGGTCCTTAGTGCGCCCGCCCCCCAATTTGGCCAATGAAGCTTGAAGCATCCTTCTCAGAGAAGCATGCTTTTCTGAAGCAGTCATCAAGCAGTCTTATCTGGCAACCTTAGTGCACCATACAAATATTAACACTTTCTATGTGTGCCTGTCCCTATGTCTCTTTGGATATTTTTTCTTCCTTTAAGGACATGCATATATATATATATATTTATATATTTATTTCTTTTCTTTTTTTTTTTTTGGTACCGGGAATCGAACTCAGGATCTTGCACTTGCAAGGCAGGCAAGGCACCACTGAACTAAATCCCCAGCCCATAGCCTACTTTTAAAAGCATAAGCAAAACACAATGTTAAGTTACTTTCCAGAAGTAACTATGGAAACTAACCTTAAGGGATTCTTTTTTTGTGAGCTTACTTGAAGTTGAACTGTCTTTCTCCGAGCCATTATAAAGTTTTGATTCAGACTGAAATTACATAGACATGAACAGAAGATAAATAACAATTAAAACCTTCATTTAAAAAAAACCCTTCACTTAATCTATACATGTCATATAAAATCTAATGTTAATTTCTCAAATTCTTACCATTAGCACTATGATTTAAGCAAATGTAGAGTTTCAAAAACTGTTTTTTCCTATAGAATATTTCTTTTTCTTTCTTTTTTTTGGGGGACCAGGAATTGAACTCAGGGCTTCGAGCTTGCCAGGCAGTCGCTGTGCTACTGAGCTACATCCCCAGCCCTAGAGTATTTGATTTTAAAAACAAATCAGGCAGGGGATGTAGCTCAGTGGTTCCACCGCCTGCCTCAAAAGTGTAAGGACCCGAGTTCAATCCCTGGTACCAAAAAAACCCCCCAAAACAAACAACTCCCCCCCCCATCCATGTTGAACCCATAAATACTCAAAAGTAAAAACCAATCTGCAATGTAAAGTTAAATAAGATTATTTCTGAAGTTTTACATTCAACTTTTTCAGAGCATTTCTAAGAACATACACAATCATTTAGTTAATTCTCCAGACAAAAACTGCCAAAGCAGTGTTATTTTTTAACAGCTGAAATATTCTAAGTGAAAAACCAAACCATGTAAATTTTAACAAGTTGCTATATACACTGCCCAATTAGTATACCTCCTGCACTGGGAAGAAATATACTCTCTTCAGAAACTAGTATTAAACCACTCTAAATTGTACAGTATCAAATCACAATATTCATAGGATCTCTTCCTTCTTACCTATCCAATGTACCTAAATTCTTTTCAATGTCTTTGTTTTCAGACTTTTAGTTTATATTTCCTATTTCTATTTAATTATTACAGTGTAGATGTAAAATATCTCATCAAAGTCTCGTGTTTGAAAGGTGATTAGATCATGGGGAGCTATACTCATTAGTGGATTCATCCATTGATAAATTCAGTAGATAAACGTGTTGTTAGATGAGGCCAGGTTGGAGCAGGGTCACTGCGGGTGTGACCTGGAAGGATATATTCTTGTCTCTGGCTCCTCCTGTCTCTCTTAGCTTCCTGGCTGTCACCAGGTGAGCAGGTATTCTCCACCAGACCCTTCTACAACCTTGCCATTTCTGCCTTGGAGCTGGCTGACCACAAACTGAACCCACTGGAAACTGTGAGCCAAATAAATCTCTCCTCCTTTAAGTTATGGAAGTCAAGTATTTTGTCCCAGCAACAGGAAATATATTAATCTTCATAAGGATCTTGAAAAAATGGGCACAACAAGTGGTTTTATCAGCATTTTATAATTCATAAAAGGGAGGCTCAGGAGGTTGATTTTCCAAACTTATAATCATTAATAGCAGTGATCAGATCCTGGGTTTCCTAATCCAGTGCTCACAATCTTTCACCAGGGTTGAAGAGCGCAAAACTAAAGGCTGTTTCGATAAATCTTAGAACAAAATCAAACATATTCCTTCAATGTCCTAAAATTTAAAATTTTTCCTAGCATTAGATACTGGAGAGGACACTTAAAAGACTTCTTAGCAATATTACTAGTACTAAGAATTTATAAACAACGTGATCTAAATGGTGACTTTGAACTGTAGAATGGCCAGGCTTGCATATCACTAGATATGATCAAGGATAAAAGCTTCTGAGTATAACTCCCTCATTCGGTTATCAGACCCATTCAGGGGGCATCATGTTTACTCATCAACAATATCCAGGGTATGACCTGAAGAAAAGGAAAGACTCAATAAAATATCTCATCTACTAATAAAATGAAAATAAACTTGGCATGTGTGTCTAATTTCTCTCATATCTGCTAAAAATGTCTCTGCTACTTGGTACAAAATACTAGCTTATGGTGATAGTATTGACTATATTGAAAGAAAACTGCAGAAACTGAATATAGAAAGGGGGGGATCAACTTGGTTAAATTTTTGCTAAAGTTACTGATTTTAAGTACTAGGCTTGAAACATCAAATCACTTATTCCTAAAATTATGCTGTACGTTGTGATACCAAACTAATGTCACAAAGTTCCTCTAGGTTAATGGGTCTCTGTCTTCTCCTTGGCCCTGGGAACCCAAAGTTGTAATGGCTAGTATCAGAGGATAACTTAAAATGACATTTTATTTCCCACAATTTAATAGGAAATGAATACTGTAATATGCTTACATATTATTATTATTATTATTATTATTATTATTATTGGTACCAGGGATCAAACTCGGGACCTTGCGCTTGTGAGGCAGGCGGCGGAACCACTGAGCTAAATCCCTGACCCGCTTACATATTATTAAATGAAGAATACTAACAGTATTAGCTTACGAGTTAATGAGTGTGTTACCACAAACCCCAGGAATCCTTGTTACATGGTCTAGTTTTGACAAAATAATGAACCAGTGAAAAAGTTATATAGTTTATACATTACTACATCAGTTTCCTGTATCAACATACTTTTTTGGGGGTACCGGGGATCGAACTCAGGTCCTTGTGCTTGTGCAGCAGGCGGCGAAACCACTGAGCTAAATCCCTGGCCTTCAACATACTTTTAACAGACCAAAAATTAAAACCATAAACCATTCTATTAGAAATATTTTGTTTTGTTTTGTTTATTGGTACCGGGGATTGAACTTGGGTCCTTGCGCTTAAGGGGAAGGCAGCGGAACCACTGAGCTAAGTCCCCGGCCCTCTATTAGAAATATTTTAATAAATAACTTTCTCTTCATAAACTTTACTGACCACTGTCTTAATGGTCACACAATTTATATTAAATAAATCTGTATGCTTTTTCTCTTGTCAATCTGTCTTTTGTTATAAGGGTATTAGCCATGAATCCTGCAATGGGTGGGAAAATAATCTTTTCTCCCCATACAATCAAGGCATTTCTTATGTAAAATTATATAAATATGTATGATGTATTATTAAACTTCCATCCTTAATACACATATGGTACATGGACCTTCATGTAAGGAATACTTGAAAAGTTAAATGCGAATAAAATTTCCATAAAATCACAAATAAAAACATTGTGTAATCTTCTTAACCACTCCCAAGAACAAAAACAGAAGGTAGTAGGAGCAGAGCCTACTGCTGAGAAGAGCAGAGAATTTAATGGCTTAATAAATAGGTTTTCTGGGCTGAGGATAGAGCTCAGCAGCGCAGTACTTGCCTGGCAAGCACAAGGCCCTGAGTTCAATTCCCAGTACCAAAAAAGAAAAAAGAAAAGAGGAAGAAAAAGGAAATAGGTTTTCTTAGTCTTTTAAGTATATTCCAAAATATAAAAGCTTTTTCTGTTGCTACTAAATCTGATCAGAAATAACAGTCAAAAGTCAAATCCAAAAAAAAAAAAAAAAAAGTCAAATCCTGTGACAAATTTTAGAAAATTCAGTGTAGGAAATTGCTACATCATTATAGTGTTTCTTAAATTTGAGTAGGTTTTCTTAAAGAAATAATTCTAAACACATCTAAGAATAAGTAAAAGTATTCTAGTTTGAGAAAGACTGATTTAAGAAATTAGGTCTTAGGAAAAAAATTTAATTGCAGGCTATTACTGCAAAGATCTTTGTCCTTTAACTGGTAAAATATATATGTTTTGTCAAATAAATAAACTCAAAAACTTAAAAGAATTTTTTCTCATTTTATAAGACATGAAACTTAGAATATCTCTGAATGGAATCCCCAAACTCCAGTCTGAGAAGTACTACTGTGGAAAACACACCAGAAACAATATTACTCTGGAGAAAGCACTGGGTACCTGCCGGCTGTTTTTCTGAGTAACCAACGGCACTTAAATCAGTTCCAGTAGAACTTTATTTTTTCATACATACTACTTGGCTTAGACATACCAACCTAAGAAACATCCCATAAAAGCTGGATAGGATTTCAGTTCTCTCATCATAAATATTAGAAAAATATCATAATCATAGATTTAGAACAACAATATGCTTACCTTGCTCTTTGACATGGAAAGTGAAGATTCATCTCTATTTTGAGAAATATCTTCCCTTCCTCTTTCAAAACCTTTGGGAAAAAATGGTCAATATCTCAGTATTGTTATTTTTGAATATATATAGTCATTAATGTTAACATTTTATATACATATAAAATTTAGTGAACATATATTCACATTTTAGTGAACATATATATACATATATATTTATTTTTCTTTTTTTCTGGTTTTTTTTTTTTTTTTTGGTACCGGGGATTGAACTTGGGTTCTTGCTCTTGTGCAGCAGGCGGCCAAACCACTGAGCTAAATCCCTGGCCTTTCTCTGCTTTTCTTGAGACAGTGTCTTGCCACCTAGCTGGGCTAGCTTCGAACTTATGATCCTCCTGCTTTATAGCTCTCCAATTACTGGGATTACAGGCATGTGCCACACCCGGCTTCAATTTAAGATATAGACTATATTTGATGTGTATCAGTGCAGGAAGTCTAGACTGTATATACAGTCTATATACTATATATACAGTTTATACTGTAATAGTTTATAGATCTTTAAAGAGTCATCTCTAGTGTACTTATTTAGAATTAATTACAGCTTAGGGAGGCAACGAAGTCCTTCCTTGAACCCACCAAAATCAGGCTAAATAGCCATTTTCGGTGCTCCTACAGCACTCTGTATGAAATCAGCCCTCATAGAGCTTTTAGTCTAGTGAGATGGTTTCTAAAAAGAGCAAATGACAGACCCAAGCAAATATACTTTCACACCACTATAAAAATGGAAATATTCTCAAATATAGGTGATTTTAAAAGATGGGAGAAATAAACCTGGAATGAGGGCTTGGAGAAATAAACCTGCAGTGGGATATACTTGTTCTCCCAGATATATGTGAGGTTGGAATAGGTGGAGCACTTGAGCCCAGGAGTTTGAGGTCAGCCTGGGCAACACAGTGAGACCTTATCCCTATGCTGCCCACCCCCTAAAAAAAGAGAAAAAAAAAAAAAGAAAAGAAAAAAACACTTAGCATAGTACTTGACACACAGTATACATTTATTAATGTTGACTATATTATCATTGTCTATTGCTCAACAAATGCTAAAAGGTTGGACATAAAATACATGAGTGTACTGGGATAAACACACATATACCCTTGCATTCACATAACGTTAAAATAGCTCTATGCTGAAGCAATTAACAAATTATTAAATTATTATAACAATTCAACTAAAGAATGTTAATAAAATTTGTACTTCAAGTATTAAAGGAACAGTATACAATTTATTGTGATTCTTTCTACTTCTTTTTTTTGGTACTGGGGATCGAATTTAGGATGTTGTGCTTGTGAGGCAGGCACGGTGCCACTGAGCTAAATCCCTGGCCCTTCTTTCTACTTTTGAGGAGAGGTAATATTAACTATATAATTATTTGTTCTGTATTAAGAAATACATGTACAATTATACTACCATTACCTGAAGCATTTCAAAATTATTTTTAGCATATCAGTGACAGTACCTCTTATTCTGCTTTTGGTTTATAATAACTAAAACAAATCTATTCTATTTTCTTAAGTCAGATATTTTACTCAATTACTTTTACAATATGAAAAAGAAGAAAGAAGAAGCATCACTCAATTCTAGCAGTAGGGAGGATATTTTTTCACAAATGCAGCATGAAATTTTAAGTGAAAACTTACAAAAATTTGGAGCTTAGTGTAAGGGAAACCAAAAAGTTACATAATTCATTAAAAAAATTATTTATACAAAGCAGTAAACATAAAAATTCTTACTACTAGCAAATAACAACTTCAAAGATTTTCTAAACACACGTGCAAGAGAACAAAGATTTTTCTAAAAATATAGAATATAAATAGAAAAGTCTTTTCTTTTATTCTCAAAAGAACAGACTTCAATTTCTCTAGTGTCTTGGTTTCAGCTGAATCTAGATCAATCCATGTATCAGAGTAGGAAAAATGCCTTGTTTATTGTGTCTATATTTACATTATTTTAAAATACTACAGTAAATTTAAAAAAGTTGTAAGTCAGAATAGACTTTTTAAATGCAGGTATGTCTTATAAAAAGTGTCAAATATTGAAAAAAGGCACTCGCCAGGGATTCAGCTCAGTGGTTCCGCTGCCTGCCTCACAAGTGTAAGGTCCTGAGTTCGATTCTGGTACCAAAAAAAAAAAAAAAAAAGAGAGAGAGACTCACAAATCTAGATTATGTATTACTTGTTAAGTCCAAATGAATCCCATTTTAGGTCTCTATACCTCAAACTTGTAAATTATATGATTATCTTAAAAGCTTGTCCCAATTACTCTAAGTTACTTAAAATTATAGATGGGTAAAGCAAAATGCTTTTTAAAATGTCTTACAAGTGGTCAAATGTGTTTAATTTCAAAAAAAGTTAAAAATTAGGTGACCAGTGTGAATTGCAAAGAACACAGAACATACAAAAATGGTTAAAGTTCTAAAGTGAAAATAGTCATATTGTACATAAAATTTCAAGAGAAATTCCAAAGAAGCAAGGCAAAAATTGTCACACTAGGGACTCTGTTGTAAGACTAGACAAAGCTACTTTTCCTAAAGTGCAAAATAATCTTATCTGACAAAGTCTGTTATGAAAATATATTTATCAGAAGCCAAAGGGGTTCGACCAAAATACTTTTGACTCTTTAGTCATTTTCCATTGTGTATGAGAATTCAGCATTATTTTAAAATTCTTTCTTTATTACAATAGTTATATTTAAAGACAAAATCCTAAACTCCAGAATACATTATTGACCCTATTAGTAATGAAGAATAGGGTTTTTTTTCCCCCTCACCAAATTTGCTTGTAATGATTTGGGGTACTAAAATCTTTTCACAACTATCCTCCCCATTCCTACAAGTGAGATAGAATCCACATTTCTATCAAGAGAATTAAACTAAGGAACTAATACCATTCTAGTACAGATGAGAACAGGAAATAACTGGAACTCTATTCATTGCTAGTGGATTTTTAAAGTAGCATAATCACCTTGGAAAACTATTTGGCAGTGTCTACAACAGTTATGAGTATGCATGCTCATTAAAAGAAAGGTAGAAGAATCACAGCAGCTTTATTTCTAACAGTCAAAAGCTGCAACTGATTCACACCACTATTAATAGAATACATGAACACATAGTATGGTCCTGTAATGGAATATTACACTATGAAAAAGAACAAAACAATAGATATATTGAGTAAAAGAAGTCATCTATCCCTATCAAAAAAAACAAAACGAAAGAAAAAGAAAAGAAGGTACCATATGATTCCATTTATAAATCTGTTCTGTGAGGTTAGCGACTGAAAAGTCATTTACCTTGCTATAGGAGGTACTGATGGGGAGGGGCATGAGGTAACCTTCTGAAGATCTGGGAAGTGATTATAAGTATCTATATGTAATTAAAAATTCAAAAAGTTGCAATTTAACTATACATGAGTTATACATCAATGAAAAGACAAATATATATGTTTCCCTAGTTTTCCAGTTTATTAGACATTTCTTGCTTTGCCATCCTTTCCTACTTAGTTTATATTCCTTTAGCTTATTCTATACCTGGTTAATTCTAATTCATTTGTCAACAATAATGATAATAATAATAAGCCACTCCGTAATATTAATGAAAACACTAAGAATAAAACAACCAATACCCATTTGCGGGAACCCTCATGAGTGAAAGGTAACATGATAGATTCTATCTTACATTTTAAAAATAATCTTTACCATATATCACATATGCAAATATGAACCATATTTATATAGCTGAAAAAAAATCCAAGACTCACAAAATTAAGTTGACTAATTCAATAATTGACAGTACCAGAGCTGAATGAAACTTAGGTCTAACTTTAAAATTCATGCTGTTTCTCCAATACCATGATGTGGCTCAGGATGCCAAGCCACCTGTCTGGGAGGTCTTGCATTGATAGTTCCAATTCTCAGAGATATATACTTTACACATACCTGTACTACAGTATGCACTGCAATGTAATGCAATTATTTGTTTTCATGTTCACATTCCATAACTAATTGTGAGAAAAGAAGGGTGTGAACCTTACTTATATTTTAAAAACTGGTAACAAATTGGATGCCATTTTTACTTCTAAAGTTTTTTAAAATGTGAAATATAGTATACCTTTAAAAAACTATAAACGAATAACCTAACAAATACAAGGCATACTTAGGTAACTGCCATCCAAATGAAGAAATTGAGAATTGCTTAATGTCATTAGTGCAATTGTTGCCGCCTGCCTGGCAAGCTCAAAGTCCTGCGTTTGATCCCTGGTACCAAAAAAAAAAAAAGTAGTTGTCTTGACTTTTGCCAGTACAGTACTATTTAGTAACTTATCACAGCAGGTATTTCATTCATTTTCACTGCTGATTAGAATCTCACTGTGGGACTATACCACTATGTATCCATTCTATTACTGACAGACACTTGTATGATTGCTAATTTTTCCCCATTATGAACAATAGTGCTGTGAGTATTCTTGGAAATATATGATTGGTAGACATAACCATGAGTTTCTGATAAAGAGAAATACTAGTGCTTTTCAGAAATGCTCTTACCCATCAAAGCAAATAGAGAATTTTCTAGTTAAAGAGTTTATTAAAAAAATTACATTTAACTTGGTTTCATAAAAAAGTCTGCCATATATTTTTGTTCTAATTTTCTCATTTTGGAAATAATCAGATTCATGATAATTATAACTTCTATCTCATGTAATTATATGACCAGAGTCAAGTTCTTCTTTTACATACCAGGGACTTCAGTTTCTCTTCTACAAATAATTTTCATATTTGATAATCTCTTATTTAAGTACATAGGGTTTACTTTCTCCTTCTAATGCATCAGAGTATCATTCCTGAACAAATTAGCACTCTGCCCTTAACCTCATTTATTAACAGAGTAGAAGTAATATCATCGTTGAACAAAGGTGTAACCTTTTTATATACTTCAGTAGGGAACTTGGTTCATTAATGCTTTAAATACAATAATGCAAATTTTCTGTTAGTCTTATTAAAATGAGATTATATATATATGTGTATATATACG